AGTAATGTGGCGACTCCTCACACAAGTAACGAGGCTGACCCCCATACAATGTCACATGTAGACATGACAGAGCCCAAGAGGCACAGGAACCGATACACCTGTTGACGGACGGTTGAGAGGCAGGACCAAGGAGCCAGAGCTCAACCCCCACAAGCACAACTAGGTGAGGACATATATTGTAAAAGCACAAGCCGCCGACTAGTGGCAAAGAGCACTACGCTGGCCAGGCAAAGAAGGCACAAAACTGCATCAAAAGGCCCACCTCGACAGCAAAACCACAAAGTCCCAGCACAACCACAACATGTGCCAAGACCCAAAAAGCTCAGTCTGCAAGCCAGGAAGACCCCGGAACCCCAAAAGGCAGAACCGGGTCACACGAGGAAACAAAGTCCCCTGAACCCACAAAAGGGGGCCCAAGAGGAAGAAACCTCCAGAACGAAACCAAGGAACCCAAAGGAACCCAGAATCGAACCAGGGGGAGCCCAAACCACCACATTTGCCGGCGGAGAACACCACTAAAAGGCAAAGCACAGACCCCAGCAGAACGCCCTGGGAAAACGGTCCCAACAGACCGAAAACCGAGGGGCAAGGTGTGGGAGCAAGCATACCAGCCAGGGGCACTGAGCCTAAACCCAGAGGCTCAGACCCAAAATCAACACCCAAACGTTCCCAGAGGAACAGGCAACGGCAAGAAAACACCAGAAAAACAAAGAAACGACAACAGGAGAACAAAAACCCTGCAAATTTTTTGAAAACTCACCAGAGACGCTTGCTCGCACACCCAGACGCATGTAAACAAACCGCAACGCCGCCCTGGTGGCCATGCCGTGAAACCGGCAGACGAAAATGGCCGCCAGCAGGGGCTGTGACTGACGCTTAATACACAAAAACACGCCAGCAAATGTGGGAAGCTAGCAGACAGGAAGGGCGAAAAACGACGCCCAACAGCAGAAAAACCCCTGAAGGGGCAAAACCGCCCCAGAACTGCTAGCAGGCAACCCCCACAGCCCCGGGAACCAACAACAGAGGCCCCGGGGCAGAGCCGTCCTCCAAGCCCTCCGCCCTTAAAGAAAAGCAAGAGCCCATGGGAAAGGCAACAAGAAAGGGCCGCTGGTAAGACCCAGAAGCCTTGGCAGGAGGCACAGGCTCAAACCTCCGTCCCCAACCCGAACGGGGCATCCCCCGAAAACCGCCCGAGTCTCTGCCGCAACTGAACCCCGCCCCGACCCAGAAACACGCAGACGGTCCGGAGCCGGGAACATGGAGAGAAAGGGGCGAGCAGCACCTAACCAAACGGGGCGGCCACGGGCATTCGAGTGGGAAACCAACCTAGCATGTTGCAGCAACCTAACCTAGCTTGCAACACGGATGCCGCCTGTACTCTGAACAGTAATAACATCAGGAGAGTACTGGAGAACAAGCAGAGAATCACTCGCAAGACTCCGGGTCAAGGTGTCAGTGACCCAACAGGCAGCATGACGGAGGTAAAATTGGCGACTGTCACCCGGAGACAAGGGAACAGCAACCAACGATCCCGTTCAAGACGGGTTGGAACCCGGAAGACACATTCAATGGTCCCCCGAGCCCAGACAGGGGTTTCCAGGGCCCGTAGGGTAACAACTACGGGAAGCCCGGGCAAGGTGTTGCTAACCGGTGAAGAAACCCAAACATAACAAGAGGGTAGATGATAGCACTGAAAACCCCTGAGACGTGTACAAGCACGGGGGCCTAGCAGAGGGCCGCCAAACACTACCAGTGGAACTATAACCACCTTAGGCAGACCCCCACCAGGCAAGAAAATGAAAAACAAAAGAAAAACCCCGCAAAAGTACACCGTCTCCAGAGGCAACAGAAACCGGCCGCCGCTTAGGTGGCAGGCTGCGCAACACCTTGACGCCCTAACCAGCACAATACCAATCCCTACCCAGGGCCAAACAAGGGCCCCAAGCCCCAGCTGGCCCCAAGGGCGAGGCAAATGCCGAGCAGCAAGAACCTCTACGGGAATGGTTCCCGAACGCCCCAGGGAAGATAACCCTGTAACGCAAGGGCAGTACTCACAGGGCGCTTAGGGAAGTCAGCCACTAAGCACATGCAGCCCCGGCACTGATGAAGTACTCCTGGCCACCGCACACCACAACACACGGCAGTGAACGCCACACAAGGCAAACACCGCCTAGGAAACTGAGGCCAGAGAAGCGTCAATCCCGGTTGACATTAGCGAACGAACTGGAGCTTGGCAGCCGGCGCGGTAGGTCCGGGGCTCCCCCCTCCCCCTCCCGGGGTGGGGAGGGCTGCGCGGACGATCGGCGCGGCAGTAAAGTGTGATGTTTGCTTGTTTGCTTGTTTCCTTGGGATTGTAGGGAGTTTTCTACCTCTCTGTTCGGTTTTTGTTGTAGTTTCTTACCATGTGGGGTTTGTTTTGTTACGCCTACCTTTCTGGGTGCCTAACCCCGGTCGATGGCAGATAAGGAAAACCCCAAACCATATGGGGTTTTCCAGGGCCATTGCTCCCTGAAACCTCTCTGAAGGGGCCAGGTTCTGGCGCTGGTCCCTGGTAGGTCTGAACTCCTTAGCTAATGTCCCGGTCTAACATAACACACATTAGCCCGATAAGCTCCAGGGAGCCGTAGGGGCTCCCCACAGAAAAGGGGCGTTGGCAGAGCCTTCGCCAAATGAGGTCTACTCCGCCCGAGCTGTCAGACGGCAGTTGCCACAAATATATTATTACCTAATTATTTCAATGTCTCTGATTGATTTTTTCTTAGTTTTTTTGCAGTAATATTATTCCATACAGTGAATTGTGGTATATTTATATTATAAAATGTGTGAACCATCGCTGTACTCAAAATTATGGTGTGCATATTAGTGATTCAATTATTATGTTCATAAAACAATAAACAAATAGTTTTGCTGTTGTTACACTATATACACAGGTTATGTATAAGTATTTGCATGTTTTGTACACCATAATGAACTACTAAGTTGGTCTTGTGAGTCAAAAAGCAACGAGGAGTGACCGCCAAACACCAGCGAGCCACTCGCTGCCACTCACTGCCACTCCCTCCCTCAACACCACCTCACTCACCCTCATTCACCTCCTACAATACTCTTTCTGTATTTATTCACTATACACAGACGTTATATATACGTATTTACATGTTTTGTTCACCATAACTGTACATCTAAGCTTGTATGGTGAGTAAAGGCCACAAAGACGTAGCTACTCACACAGTCAGCTGATCGGCGGCCGCCCTCAAGGCCAGACACACTAATATTTGTCCTTCAACAATATTGTTTGTGGTGTTATTACGCTATATACACACGTTATATATAAGTATCTACCTGTTTTATTCACCATACCTGAACAAATAAGCTGGTATGGTGCCCAAAGACCATAGTGGCCATCAGTAAACACCATGCCAAGACGTGCAGACGACGCTCCTTCCTCACCAAAATGGCGGCTCCCAACCTACTCCTTTCGCTGTTATCACACTCTATACACACGTTATATATAAGTATCTACATTTGTGTTCACCATATCGAACCACTAAGCTGGTATGGTGAGTGCAGTCAATAAATGGTGGCCACACAAAGTCAGAAGACGACACCACAACCCTCCCTCGCACAGCCTTACGCCTCCCTCCATGGAGCACAGCGCTAAATATCACCACAATCCTGCGATTATCAGAATCCTGGTCAGTTTTATCACAGTCAGGGGCTTCAGTAATACTATCACTGCTAAATAATAGCAGTATCATATATATTATGGTATTTGTAGGCGATGCTGTGGTCACAAGCTGAACAGCGGTGCTGTGAGCTCGTGCTGCGTGCGCCAGCCTTGGTGGCTTGCTCAATACTGACGCTGTAACACCCAAGAATGTTGGCCTGGATTTTTTTTCTAGGTGGCATCTGGCAACTATCGGTCGTGGCTGTACTATAGCTGCCCCTATCCCAGGCGGGGAGTTTAAATTATAGCGCTAGACACGAAATCATATATAAATGATGTGCGCGGTTTCGGTTTTGTCACTGATATCATTTATATGTGATATGCGCGGTTTGAGGGTTAAACCACTACCAATAAAGAAAATACGTGGATCACTAGCCGTGAGCTAGTGCATGAGCTCCAAACAGCGAAGAGATGTTTCCATTCTTTTCAGGGTTGTCAACTCCACACTTGTCCTACAGCGTTAAATTTGGTATCTTTGAGATCGCAATAAAATTCCCTACACAGACATAGGCATATAAATGAAGAATGATGATCGCGGCCCACCCGCAAGAGTGTGGGAAGTGGGCGAAGTGTTATCTGTTATCGCACATCGGCGATCTACAATAGTTTTACCATGAAGATACAAGACAATGCCGTTCTCCCAGATAGGCTATGTGGCTACTAAAGAAATCGTAAATTTTATGGCAAACATGTTGATACTATCCCCAAGTCGATCGGATAAGAATTGAGTTTTATAGAAATATTTGTTCGTCGGACATAAAAAGATGTCCAGCACTAACACACGGTAGGCGTCAAGTGACCTCCGACGGACTCGCTCGTGTCCACGGCTAACGAAAGTGTTAAAAATTAACATCATAGTTTTACACAAGCCACATATGAGAGCGAAGCCAATTCTCAGAAGTACCTACAACACATTGCCAATTTTATATAAATTCTACTCTTATAGCCAAGCATTTCCTACTGACCACTTGGTCAACCAGGCTATTGCTTGCTCTAGCATCACTGGGCTGATCTGACATATCATGCAAGAACAAATTGAGATCCCTCATGATTACCTCAGAATTTATTCCAGAAATCATTACCTAGTTTCATAATTTCATTAGGAGCAAAGGTGAGAAAAATGTGAGACTGAAGAGAATCCAGCGTCAAATGTAATGAAATGCCCTATTCTAACATCCTGGCTCCCTAAAATCTAAAAAAATGTAAATTTAGAAACAATGTGTATTGTTCCTCAAGATTACCTCATGATGTGATTGTTAAATTAAAAACTAACCTCCTTGGGGCTATGGACTTTAGGCCACAACTTGAGCAGGGTGATGATGACAGGTTCAGTTAACGAAGGGTCCTTCTCCAGGAACTGAACTACACAATAAGCCAGCTGAGGGTGGTACACACTCAGCGATTTAACCTTATGAAGGGGTAGCAAAACCTTCAGCAGAAACACTTTATGTTCTTCTTTCAGTGGTAATGCAAAGCCATTGATGATACTGCAGAAAGATAAAATATTTATTTAGGAACACAATACATACAGGAACAGCTAATACCCAGTACCTTACACCACGCATTATAAAATGATTTAAAATATAAATACATCCAATGCAATTAAATTGTACTAAAATGAGATAAAAACTAGCAGTGAATGTAATGAAACGCCATTTTCTGGGTGAGCCCTGGAAGCTCCCTGAAGCAATCCAAACTGTTATGTGCTAAATTAGTTTGGGGTCATCAGTCACAGGAGTCCTCTGCCCAGCAGATAAACCAGCAGTGCAAAGATTTGGCTCCAGCACAGCAGCTCGAGCAACCTCCGAGTGATCCGAGCCCCCTCAAAAACAGCTGAAGGCGGGACTGCAACTGGAGCAAAGACACAGGATAAAGTGTAACAAACGCAGTCCGAAAATCCCACACTAGGCCAAGCCAAGGCCGAACCCAGGACAGAACCAACTAGGACCACCACCAAGTTACCAGGAACCTGAACCCCGGCAAGCTGGGAAAGAACCAGAACCCCGGCTAGCAGATAAGCAGACCAGCAAAGAGCCCACACCAACCAGTCATTTAGACAGGCTGCTAGCAAGGAAGATACTGGAACCTCATAACCCAACCGAACAGTGGAAGCGGAATATAACTCAAACAAAACCAGATCCAGCACAGAGGCGTAAACCGGGTCTAACAGGAGGTACGCACCAAGGGCATCCCGAAGGTGCGTAGGAAGCCAAGAGGAAGAAAACCTCAGAAATGATGAATCCGAGGAACCCAAGGGCACCCTGAAATGTACCTGGGGGAGGGGGGGAAACCCTACGTACTGCATTTGCCGGCGGATAAGACGCACAATGTTTATCTAAATATTTTTTTTCTGGATAAAAAGTGGCCATACGTCTAAAGCGGCCATAATACAGATGGGATATTGAGCGCCGTAGACTAGGGTGCCAGATGAGCATATGGTCGCATGATCGCTAGGCACAAAATCGATGCAAATAATAAAATAATGAAAACAAAGCCACAGATTGTGGCTTTGTTTTCATTGTGAGTTTTCATCATTTCATTAAGATTGAGGGAATACTATACAAAAGGACCGCAGTCTCATACACAAGACAAGACTGCCCCGGGAATACAAGACTGGGAGGCACAACCACCACCCACAATTCCACAAGGGAATGGACAGGGTAGGAAAAAATGGATAAAGCAACATGTTTGGTACACCCAGAATGGGACACTTGTGGAAGCTGAGTACCCAAAGGACCCACAGTGACATTAGAACTTGTTCAGTGGAAGAATAGTAAGAAAAGGAATGCAGGAGGCAGTGATGTGGCAGAGGCTGACACCATACATAAGATCAAACTTAAGAGATGAAAGAGAGCAGCTCAAGAAGCTCAGGAATGTGTTCACCAGTTGAACGACGGGCGAGAAGCAGGCCCAACGAGCCAAAGCACAACCCCCTCAAGCACAACTAGACGAATACAAACTTACCAAAATTACTGACGACACATCTGCAGCAACGAGGGAAGCTCATACCAATTCACGTACCTCCCCACCCATTTCATAGCAGACATAACCCACATCGGAGACATGTCATACATAAGGAAACAACCAAGTTACCAGTAAGAACAATGGTTCATGAACAAAATTAAAAAAAGGAGCCGAAGAGGTCCGAGTTGGCTTCCCTCCCCTTCCCCACCCGAGCCTCGGGAACCCCCCGACAAGAGGTCCCGGGGGCAGAGTCCTCATCCACACCCACCACCCATGAAGAAAAGGCAGAGTCCAGGGAAAAAGCTTATAAGAAGGGAGTCTGCTGGGCCGGCCAAGATGCCCCAACGGGAAAACGGGCTCAATCACCTCCATGCCTGCATGAGAAGGAGCAACCCCCCCAAAGCCACCCGAGCCTCATCCGGCGCACTAAACCCAGGCTTGACTCCGAAACCCTCAGACGTTTGGGAGCCGGAAGGGGGGGGGGAGAGAGGGAGGGAGGGGGGGAGAGAGGGAGGGAGGGGGGGAGAGAGGGAGGGAGGGGGGGGAGAGAGGGAGGGGGGAGAGAGGGAGGGGGGAGAGAGGGAGGGGGGAGAGAGGGAGGGGGAGAGAGGGAGGGGGCTAGAGAGGGAGGGGGCTAGAGAGGGAGGGGGGGAGAGAGGGAGGGGGGGGAGAGGGAGGGGGGGGAGAGAGGGAGGGGGGGAGAGAGGGAGGGGGGAGAGAGGGAGGGGGGAGAGAGGGAGGGGGGAGAGAGGGAGGGGGGAGAGAGGGAGGGGGGGAGAGAGGGAGGGGGGAGAGAGGGAGGGGGGAGAGAGGGAGGGGGGGAGAGAGGGAGGGGGGAGAGAGGGAGGGGGGAGGTAGGGAGGGGAGGGGAGGGGAGGGAAGTAGGCAATCCACACCCACCTGGGTAGAAAGCAGGGGCACGTCAGGAACCAAGGTCGAAGCGACCAACGACCCCAAATCCCGGTCTCTAAAATCCAAGTAGGACAGCTCCGGGGCCTCCAACCGGGCAACCAACCAGGCCCTTTACAATAAGGAGAATCAAAGATGCAATACAGCCACTGCCTGATCCCCGAGACAAGGATGAGTAATTGAGGTACAAGTGGGGAACAAGATCTGCAAGACTCCAGGTTTTAGGTATCACTGACCCAACAGGCAGCATGGCAGAGGTAGTATGAATGATTGTCTCCCTGAGGCAGGGGCAATGAACAACCTTCAACTTTGCACAAGTCAATGAAGAACTTGGAAGATGCATCCATGGTACCCCTGAGCCCACTGGGGTTTTCCATAGCCCATAGGATGAGGAAGCCCTATGCGAAGCCCAGGCACTGGGGCCAGCTAAGCTGGTAGAACCCTGTCAGTCACCAGGCAAACTGACTATCAGTAGTAACCATGAAACCTCGGGGGCAACAGAGGACTACCAACACAACCTAGGGTAGCCTAATACGAAGCTAGATAGTCTACCTCAGTTAACAAAAAGCGAAAAAGCTAGGAAATAAAGAGGAAATTAAATGAAAAACACTCCCCACCTGGGGCAAGACGAAAACCCCAAGACCCCTGACGTTTCACATGGGCGAAGACAACATCAAGCAACGAGGTCCTCAAACGGAAGTGATTCCCAAACGCCCCAGGAAAGATAACCCTGAAACGCAAGGGTAGAACTTACGGAGTACCTAGAGAAGATAACCCCAAGCATGAATCATCATGCCACCATTATAAAGAAAGGGAAACTGGTTATTTCAACATAAACTGTGTAAGGTACATTGATCGAGACAAAGACAGACAGACACAGTCTATGTTGCTTAGTCTTCCCGAAGTTCATTTGCTTGCAAACATGGACATGTACATATTCACACCCTGAGGTAGGTCAGTCACATTGCTTAACAACAACAATGGTGCTTGAACCATTGTCTACACAGCCTTCATTCTTTAGCGTATCTTGATAACCTCATAATAAAATTATCAAGTTTGTGACATTTTTCCAATATAAACCTGTGTTACTCATAAGTTACAATTGTTTGTTCTCTCCATGTGCTTCTCCAAGGTGACTGGAGGCACTAGCTATAGAAACACTGGGGAAAGTAGACAGTAACAAACCCTATGCAAGTGATGTTAAAGCTGCACAAAAATGTAAGGCAGTCAAAACAGTTAAGTTGGATGGTGATATGTTGAAGGAGGTCATCCAGCATACCACGAAGATACAAATTAATGATCATCTTAAAACAAACAAGGAGAGGGTCATTCAAAGATTGCAATAATTTTTTATTCAAACCCTAAGTATTTAAAGTTTCAAGTCACTATAATCAGCAATCAGAAAAGCACCATGAACAGTGTAGACTAACATTATATGACATTTTACTTGTAGAGTCTTTTATCACATCTAACAGATGCACAGGGATTGTTACTAGCTTATAAAGGAGCACAATTGGGGAAGGGTGAGGTCATGGATTACATGCTAAATGAACACTTTGTTCATTATAATAAGAGTCTAATGATATCTAATTATATATTACTAAGCATTTCCACCACTTCTCAGCCATAAAAACATTATATATTATTATTAACAGATTATTACATTCTCCAATGATGTAGATAAGGGTACAATGACCTTCTGTTACTTTACCGAGTCATTGCTTTCATTTAATGTAAAGAGTTCACACGGGGTGTGTAATATATGGACGGTCAATTGGGACACCAAGGAATACTAGAAGTGTGTGATTAGAAATTGTTAGAAAAATGGAGATTGTCAGATTTGATGTACTGGGTATGCATATAATATTTTTTTTCTAACAGATCAGGATAGCAATATACAGTATAGTACATAAATTAGTTCACGCAATTTAAGAACAGCAAAAATACGATAAGTGATTCCAAGAAACTTCAGGATGACCTGGACAAAATTAAATAATAATTCAACTACTGATTACTACAGTTTAACTTAAGCATGTGCAAAGTAATGAAGTTGGAAATATGGGGCTGGAAACAACATATTACTGACAGACAGATGAGGGTAGTAATCAGAGACAATGTATCTGATTGGAGGAGTGTCACTAGCGGAGTACCACAGGGTTCAGTTCTTGCACCAGTAATATTCATCATATACATAAATGATCTACCAGAAGGGATACAGAATTATACGAACATGTTTGCAGATGATGCTAAGATACTGAAGAAGATAGGAGATGTAGATGATTGTAATGCCCTTCAAATTTATCTAGATAAAATCAGTGCTTAGGGCTTCAAGCAGCAAATGGAATTCACTGTGGATAAATGCCATGTTATGGAATGTGGAATTGGAGAAAATAGTCAACACACAACTTACAAATTATGTGCAGAGGAATTATAGAACTCTAATAAAAAACGAGACCTGGGGATGATTTTTGGATAGTAAGCTGTCGCCAGAGGAACACACAAAGAGCATTGTGAGAGGAGCGTTTGCATTGCTTTTTAACTTCAGACTTGCTTTTAATTATAAGGATGGCGAAATACTAAACAAACTGTTTATGACTTTTGTACGACCAAAATTAGAATATGCAGCAATGGGCAGAGTTTCTTTCACCCTATGCCCCTGTTACCTAGCAGTAAAATAGGTACCTGGGTGTTAGTCAGCTGTCACAGGCTGCTTCCTGGGGGTGGAGGCCTGGTTGAGGACCGGGCCGTGGGGACACTAAAGCCCCGAAATCATCTCAAGATAACCTCAAGAAGATGGAACAGCACAAGTGATTTAAATAGTACAACCATTATGATGGGATCCCTGGATTTGAAAGTTCTCGTAATCCAGCTTATCATTTTTCTGGCCGACGCAATATTTGCTTGGTTATGCTCCCTAGATGGTAGGTCATCAGACATCATTATTCCCAAATCCTTAACATGTTTTTCTACTATGGGCAAATCTGATTGTGTTTTGTACCCTGTATTATTTTTAAGGTCCTCATTTTAACAGTACCTGAGTACCTGGAATTTATCACTATTAAACATTATTTTTTTTTTTTTGCTGACCAGTCAAAAACTTTATTAATACTGATTGTAGTTTTTTCTTTTTTGTGGGAAGTCCTTACTGGGAAGATGGGACACCACGAGCATAGCTCTCACCCTGTAATTACACTTAGGTAATTACAAAGAACGGTACACTATAGAAGAGGAAACCCTCCTGGAATTAAATGGAAAGAATGACTTGGGGTTGATAATGGTATTAGGACTGTCCTGTCATCCAAAACATACATGAAACAAGAATCATTAGCTACAAATAAACAGTTGGCCAATTATGAAAATGACCTTTAGGAATCTGAAGAGGGGGTTCACATTCAAGACCTTGCAGATTTTTTATATGCATATTCCAAAACCAATTTTGGAATATGCAGCACAAATGTGAACTTTTTCCCAAACAAAAAACTAGAGAAAGTTCTGAAGTATGCCACCAGACTAGTCCCAAACTTTAGAGCCACAAGTTACAAGAAAAGACAAAAGAAATTAAACATCAGGTAACATAAGAAACAGGAGGGAACATTACCACAAGGGAACACAGGTGAAAATTCAATAACGTACCAAAATGACGTAACTTTACCTAACGTAAATTTCAACAATGCAAGATTAGATAGAGTACATGTGGAATGCACTAAAAACTGGAAGCGGTGGAGACAGAGTCCATACATAGCTTCAAACAGATATGACAGAAACCAACAGACTTGGAACCCTGTGCACAATTCAATGGAGAGTTGGGAAACGAGCCCAAACATCTGAAACTTACCCTTAGCAAGTAAAGCTTCATAAGTATAACAAGGTGAGAAAAATATAAGAACAAGTCAAGCTAAAGTTGATCCAACCACAAAGGCAAAGATGAAACAAAAGGAAACAATGTAGGACAGCAGTCATAGTGTAATTTTTTTTTTTTTTAGCAACAATGGTGGATGGTTAAAATAAACTTCGAGGTTGTAAACATTAAAAACCAAAGGAAGTTTTAACATTATTAATGATAAAATAAGCAAAAATGACAGGACACAGGCAGAGTTCTTTGCCTGTAAATTCTAACAGGCACTAATTCTAACACAAATACAAATCTTTAACAAGATCAACACTTACCTTCCTAAAATTTCTAATAATTCAGCCACACCATTATGATGCTCTGTTTCATATATGAACCTGAGGAATAAAAGCAAGCATTAATAAAAGAAAATTATTACAATGCCCTAAATATAAACAAAACAAGATTTATAATATGTATTCACTAATTTTAGATAAAATTCATCATGCTACATAGTGCAACCTCGATTTGGCAAACAATATGGGACCTAGCCAAATTAGTTGCACCCATACAGCCTGGAACCAGGAAACGGCAAAATAAAAACGTTGAGCAACACAGTAGGAACCAATGTCCACCGGAGGAAAAGGGGACGCGCAAAAAGTCAGGACCAAAGCAACATGTCGAACTCCCCCCCCCCCAAAAAAAAACCAGTGTCAAATGTAATGAAATGCTATTTTCTGGACAAGACAGAGCTTGAAGGTGCATGAAGGATGACTGTCAGCAGGTTAAGCACCCAAAGCACACTACAGGGTAGTAAGTTACCCTCAAGGTACCCAAAACAGATGAAACCCCTGAAGGGACCAGGAGGCACAAAAGCTCATGTACTAAATATCTACATATCATGTAAGTACAATAGAAAAGCTGCAAAATCATATTATTAATTAACTCTTGAACTTAAAATTATAAAGAGTTATGAGGAGAGGCTGCAGTCATTAAATATGATAGAACTAGAAGAAATAGAAAAAAAGGTAATAGTATCACAATTGACAAAATAGTCAAGGGAATCTACAAAAATGTATGACTATTTTTAATTATGACCATTAAAAAAAGAGGACTCAGAGTCAAAATAAGTACTAAAAATTGTATGGAAATGCTATTTTACCTACAGAGTGGCAGACAGATGAAATAAATTAAAAAGTAGATGACACAACCATCCATTTACAGCTAAAATTCCCCACATCTTGTAACTATTATACAAAGTTCTTACACACACACACACACACACACACACAAAGACCGTCAGTAGTTTCAAAGCGATATATGACAGAGTGCTGGGAAGACGGGACACCACGAGCGTAGCTCTCATCCTGTAACTACACTTAGGTAATTACACACACACAAACTGAAGCTGTGCTATCAAATACAGTGCATATTGCTAACCATTTAGCAGTGTTCCGCTGATGCCTATACATGGAATAGTTCCAAGACATACATGCTCCATATTAATTAAAATAAAACATCTAGACATCAGGTTATGTGGATAGAAATGTTGGTGTTAAAATGGTTCTGAAATCAGCCACAAGGGATGTACCTAATAAAGAAACAAAACAAGAAATACAGTTTAATGATGAAAAAACAATAAAATATATCTCAAGTTCATATCTAAACAACACTTATTTTTATATAAAGGTATAATCACATTTTTGTTTTTTGTTAATAATTGACACAGACTGTCCATGCTTTCAGGCGAAACTTTCACGCATTCAAATTCCAGTTTCCCTTGCATTCATCCTTTCTACATATATACATAATATATAGTACATAATATACATACATACATACATACATAATATATAGTACATAGTATCTATAAATGCAGCTTTCTAACATTTCACAAGCATTAAAGCAATTATATCTTCAATGAATATATCTTCTGGTAGCCTATCCTGAACTCTTCTCACACCAACAAAGTCAGTCATGTTCACTTTAGCCCTTCATAATATCAACTGCTCCCTCAGCCTAGCTCTGTTCTCTTCTCCCATAGAGGAGAGAAGCGTTTCTGCCCAAAACGCTGTGTGTGCTCGTGGCTTTACAAAAGTGTCAAACTTCAAGTCTCTGTACTCTCATAAACCCAATGTACCTTCTTGTAAATAAATAAATAAATAAATAAATAAATAAATAAATAAATAAATAAATAAATAAACAAACAAACAAACAAACATTCTCCTGGGTTTATCTTAAATATCCTCACCAGCTGTTCCCTCAGTGTTCCTGCTGAGCTTGTGAACATTATTCCAAAATAACTTCCCATTTTCTGAAACAATCCATTAATTATTTTCCCAAGTTATTTATTTGCACTCTGATTCTTCAGCATAACTAGTATCTTCAAATATCCCTTATTCTCATCACATTCCCAATTTCTTGTTTCTTTCCTCTTTCCTTAAACAATTGCCATATTTTATGTAAGCAATAATTAAGAGAGTTTGAAAATTATTAATATCAAAACTTAAAAGTACTGCATAGTATGATATAACAGATTGCAATGTTATGAGTATTAGTTTTAAATGTTACTGTGATATAAAAAAAAAATAAAGTGTTGAATGTAATGAAATGCCATTTTCTGGGTGAGACCCGAAAGCTCCCTGGAGCTTACTAGGCTGATATGCTAATGTCAGACTTTGGCATCAGTCATACGTATGGAGTTCTGTGGGCCTACTGGGTTACCTACCTTGAGGTTACCTTGAGGTGCTTCCGGGGCTTAACGTCCCCGCGGCCCGGTCGTCGACCAGGCCTCCTGGTTGCCGGACTGATCAACCAGGCTGTTGGACGCGGCTGCTCGCAGCCTGACGTATGAGTCACAGCCTGGTTGATCAGGTATCCTTTGGAGGTGCTTATCCAGTTCTCTCTTGAACACTGTGAGGGGTCGGCCAGTTATGCCCCTAGTCAGGGGCGTAACCCCTGGGACCACGAGTCAGACAAGGCAGCCGACAAGTGAGCCGCCGAGGCCAAGACGCCAGACCCAGGAACAGCCTCAAGCGCTCCCTCATCCTCCGTGAGCCAGTTGGAAGACAGCTCCAGGAGGGAAAAGAAGCGTAAGGCTGCAAAGAAAGGGCCCCGAGCGTGCAAGTCATCCGCCACCTGTGCCGCCGAAAGGGAGGGAACCGGCACATAGAGCTGAACGACACCAACATCCAGGGAAAGGGCAGGAGCAAACAAGCACTCATTGAGGTGCTCAAGGTCGCCATCCAGGAAAACCTGAAGCGCCGTCGAAGCCTCCCACCACTCAAGCGTGCGGGAACAGCAGAAGGAGTGCTAAGCCTCCAAGGCAAAGACAGGACAGTCCGCCAGCCAGGACGACTCCGGAACCTCGTAACGGAGCCAGAAAGGGAACGAAGTCCCAAACCTGAAAGCCGAGGGATCCCTTGCTGAGGTATAATCTGGGTCACGCAGGAGATTTGCCGCAAGGGCCACCAGCACCGCAGCAGGTTGGATGCGATTAGCCGAAAACCTCCGAAAAGACGGAACCGAAGCACCCGGGGGAACACGGAACCGAACCAGGGAAGGAGCAGACACCCAGTCCAACTCGTATGCAGAGGGGGAGAAAGAAAACCCCACTCCTTGTAACAGTAAGCCTTGCTCAGAGGGCAGGAAAACCCAGGCGGGGTCCAGCGGGGCCCAAGGCCCCCAAGTCAGCCCCTCCCCAGCCCCAGGGTCCTCCTCCACAGGACCCGGGGCCGAGTCCTCCCCCAAACACCGACCCCACCAGACAAGGCCGGTGCAGTCATAGAAGCCAGATAGATTAGGCCGACTGGTCAGACCCAGAGGCTTCAGCCGGGGAAGGAGACTCGAATGCCTCTGTCACCACACTGGAAGGGGCATCCCCCGAGGCTGCCCGAGTTTCAAGACCAACTAACCCCTGCCCCGACTCCGAAATCCTCAGACGTTTCGGGGCTGGAAGCAGAGGAGGGGAGACCAGAACGAACAACAGAAGGGTAAGGACTAGGAGGTGCGGACTGAACCAGGGTCGAAGTGACCCCCACCCCCAAGTCCGGGTCCCTATAGGCAATACGGGGCAGCCGCAGGGCATCCGGGTGAGCAACCAACTGAGCGCGTTGCAACAAACAAAATCCAGAATGCAACGCCTGTGCAGCCTATACCCGAAGATGATCATCCACAGATTGGGTAAATTGAGTCACCAGCAAGCAGCAATACTCACAGGACTCAGGGTCGAAAGTGTCACCGACCCAACAGGCTGCGTGACGGAGGCAAAAACAGTGAGGGTCGCCCTGAGACAAGGGGACCGAACAACCCTCAAACTCGCATGAAGCGAGGGGGAGGGACCCCCCGGGGTCACATCCACCCACGTGTACCCTAGAGGATTCCCAGTGTCCTGAGCGTTTACTTGAAGAGGACTCGCACTCAGGTAAACCCAGGCAGGGTACTGCTAACCGGCGCCCAAAACTACCAAACAAACTGTCTAAAGCTGAACCCCAAGGACGTGTACAGTATCAGGCTGAAGCCAAACACCAGTGGCAAATAGGGCAGAACCCCCCGCCAAGGCAAAAAAAAAAAAAAAAAAAAAAATGAAAACAAAACCCCACAAGTGGACAACGTACCCCAAGGAACAGAGCCGGCCGCTGTGATAGGTGACAACATGCTGCACAGCACCCTGCGCCTCTTACCAGTGCAAAAACTGCCTCTTGCCCTAAGGTTAACTAGGCAGACAAAACACCCAAGTACCCAAAGGGCGGCCGAAAAACCTAGCCGTTAAACGGGCCCACAGAAGCAGACCCTGAAGAACTTGTGGAAGGTAACCCTAGCTCCAAGGGCAGCACTTACAAGGCACCTAGGAAAGGGAACCATAGGCGCATGCAGCCCAAGTACTGAAGATTAACTCCTGGCTCTCGTACCCCTGGAGTACAACCGCCACACACAAGGCACAGAGCCGCAAAAAGACTGGAGCTAGAGCACACAACCGAGCCTCAAGAACTGGGGTGTGGATCACCGGTGCGATGGGTCTGGGGCTACCCTTTCCCCTTCCCGGGGAGGGGGGAGCTGCGCAGACAGCGGCGCTTCGACGGGTGACGTCATACTAGTTTGCTTGTTTTTGTTTGGGGAGTTCTATCCACTCGTTTGGCTTTTGGTTGCAATTTTCACCAGAATAGGGGTTTGTTTTGAGACCCCTACCTTTCCGAGTTCCTAACCCGGTCAATGGCATACATAGAATGCTTCCAATCATGCGGGGGTTTCTATAGGCCATTGCTCCCCTTGCCTCTCTAGAGGGGGGATCAGGTTCTGGCTCATGGTCCCCCGTAAGCCCATAAGAACTCCATAGACATGACTGATGCCAAAGTCTGACATTAGCATATCAGCCTAGTAAGCTCCGGGGAGCCGTAGGGGTTCCCCTCCCAGAAAAAAATGGCAACTTAGGAATGTATCTGATATGTTGCCATTTATACTCAGAGTAAAAGCTTTAAATCTGACAATTAAAAATTAGAAAATAAAAAGTTTATAAAATGAACATTGGAAAATAAATTTTAAAACATGTAGCTTGGAAAATTAATGCACAGGAAATATGAATTGACAGGACAAAAGGTAAGGACATTGGCTACTCGTGGAACTCACTTGTAAAATATATTGTTGATCTGCTTGCGGATAAACGCTCTCAACCCTAAAAACTTGCCGTATATTCTGTGTAAAGTGGTCTTGAGAAAATCTCTCTCTCTAGGGTCTTCTGAATCAAACAGTTCTAACAGCTGGAATAAAAAGAAAGAGACAAGTAACTAGATATGCTTCAATTGCAGCAGACAGAGGGAGCTATCCCTGATCCAAGCAGATCACACAATACAAATATTTTCCCCTTGTTAAATTATCCTTCCCACATTTACATACTTAAAAATAGATATATCGAGGGAGAATAAGTATGGGTAGGGTTATCGGTGGGTGGATGGGCGAGTAATGTGGGGGAAGGATAAACAAACCGTAGCATGATATTGTTGGAATGGAATTGGGTGGAATTGGGGGGAATTGTGTAAAATCCTGGTTTGTGTCTCGGAGAGGCTGTAGGATCCAATTAAGTTCAGTAGAACTTCTGGTTGCAATACTTTTGACCATGTTGTAGCTCAGTCGATTAAGGCAGTGTCTGGGATGCTCTTGGACGCAGGTTCGAATCCTCGTCACAGCCCTTGTGGATTTGTTCATTTGATGCATCACGGTATTGTGATTTCTGTGTGTAGTGATCATGTATTATTAATAGAAAAAGTAGCAAACCTCTCTCTCTTGCTGCCCATTCATAAGGAAGAAGAGATATGGGGAAGAGGGAGGGGAAAGGAGAGATGGGGTAGAGGAGAGAGAGAGGCAGAGAGCACAGAAGAGACAGGGATAATGGGGATATAGAAAGCGAAGGAGAGTGGAAAGGAAAAAGGGAGGAAGGAGGGGAAGGGAAAAGAAATGTGGGATGAGGAAGAAAGATTGGATATAGGTTAGACAGGAAGTGGAGGCAAGCAAGGAAAATGAAAGGGAGGGTGCAAGAAATAAAAGGGAGAAAGGGGAAAGAAGAGAGAGAGGGTTGAGACAGAGAGAAACTGGCAGGGATAGAGGAAAATCAAAGGAGGAAACTTTGGGAAATGAAATGCAGAAAAGGGCCAGTAAGAGTAGAGCTGCCATAGGCACAATAAGAGGACACTGTATGAACATCATAGGTCCACGGTTGTTCAATATCCTCCCTGCAAGTATACGAAATATTGCCAGAACAAAAGTGGAAGTCTTCAAGAAAAACTAGGCAGTTTTCTGCAAGAAATGCCGGACCAACCAGGATGTAGTAGATATGTGAACCTGTAGGGCGCTTCAAGTAACAGCCTGGTGGACCAAGCTCGCACAAGTCAAGTCTGGCCCAGGGATGGGCTTGGGGAGTAGAAGAACTCCCAGAACCTTATCCAGGTACAATCCAGGACATACAAAAGGTGCTAAATATTACTGAGGATGCCAATATGAGAACAAAAGCACATATAGCAAGCAATATTGAAGATATCAGATTCACTAAAGATTCTATCAAGGGACATTTCGAAAGCAAAAAGAGACAATCTTCCTTAAAATTGGGACATTCTACAAGGTGCACAACTGTAAGAGGGACACGACAGTTTGGACAATAATTAGCAGAGCGGCATTTCATTAAGTTCCCATGAATTAATTGCACATGGTCAATATGTAACTTAGCCAGATCAGTTCCCACCTCCAATAACAGTGGCAGGGGAAAGGCCAAGTATGCAGTTTGTTGCCTGTAATACAAGACCAATGGCCCTGCCAACGATACTGAATCAATGAATTAATGCCTAGGTAGAAATCTGAATTAGGAATGCTTTTTGGGGAATAGAACAAGTGTGGATAGCTTCCATAGCAGCAGCATCTGCACACACATTTAAGGTACAGTAATACCAATATGGCTGGGAACCCAACAAAACTCATCTGTATTAAATCTGCTAGAGATAAACGGTTTAAATTCAAGCTTTAAACTTCAATTGAAGTAGCAGCAGAAACATTTGATTCTCCTGTACCAGAACATTACTCATTTCACAAAATTTCTTCTTGAATAACAATTTATCCAGCTAAAGAAGTGCTTTAAAATGGGTTTAATTTCATTGAAATCAGATAATAAACAAAAAAGTTTGAAAAACATCCCCCACTGTAGAAAATGGGGTATAGCAGACTTACACCACAAATTTGAGAAAAGCATCAAAGATATTCTGGCACCTATTTTACCCAGTAATAAAACACTGAAGTCACATTCTCAGTACATAAAAACTTTTACAGGACACTATGTGGATCCAGGACTAAAGTAGATATCCTGCCATTCTGGACAAATTGTACCACTTTCAGTATGCGTCATTCAACCTCCACATCATATCTGAACAGTTTTCCATACAAAGCATTTACTAAAAGTGCATTACTGTACTTTTAAGCAAATTGAAAACTGATTGTTGTCAACTTTATGACTGTTGACACTGATGTGACCAACATTTCTGTGAATGCAATGATAATTAATAAATACTAAAGAAATTAAAATAAGGCATAGAACACATATTTAAAAACAAACACAATCAATCAGCATTGTACATTCATCTTTTAAAAGATTGACCCCCAAAACTACATACAAACAAACAAAAATGGTGCTGAGACATGCAAACATGAGACATGCAAACATGAGACATGCAAACATGAGACATGCAAACATGAGACATGCAAACATGAGACATGCAAACATGAGACATGCAAACATGAGACATGCAAACATGAGACATGCAAACATGAGACATGCAAACATGAGACATGCTTTCTTACAAAACTTTCATCTGAATGCCACTGGAATCAAATGTGACATTATTTCCGAATTCCCCCCATTTGAGCCGAGATGACATGGGCATATGCAATGCAAGATGAATGGGTAGTTGACAAGACAGATAAATTTATGATGTTGCTGCTGTTGAGATTTAATAGTACAGTAATAGTTAACTGCAGAAGACCTTATAAAAGCAACTGAATAAACATAATGCAATATGCCAGATATGACAATGATAGAAGAACAGAAGAGGAAGTGTGAATGAACACTCAAGACACATGTCATCTGCGTGATCAAGTGAATAATTAAAAAACATATCAGCCGAGTGCACACACTAACATGCTAAATTAGTTTAATGACCTAATTTGCCGAATCATATGGTAAAAACAAGCAAAATTCTGTACCAAACCTTATTAAAATCAATACCTAGTTTCTTTGTTTAATAATGTTCAAGATAGTTAATAAAGAAACTTCCATATACTGCAGCTCAATATAAAAAAATATATAAAAAAAATAATCTAAAATGTAATATCTAAGAGAATTCCTCCCCTCAAAATTTTATTATTTTAGCCTTCTTGACACTTAAGAATAAAATCTAAATAAACTGAAGCACTAGCTAGGAATCTCAAACTCACCTGCAGCACAAACTTCTGATCAATGAAACGTTTGGCAACAGATGGTTGGAAGTCTGGGCTTTCTAGAAATCTTAAGAAAAACTCGTACACCAATTGCAAGTGGGGCCACGCAGCTTCAAGAGTAGGTTCATCTTCCTCTGGGTCGAACTCTGCTCCTACGGAAAAGCCAAGTAAAGTCATGGGAGACTTTCTGTTTATGTTGGAGCAAAGTATTATACAATAAACCTGAGACATCTGAAAAACAATTTGACATATGGATTAGTTTACTAACTGCACACACAACTGGAAAACTGTGGGATTATCCCAGAGTAATCATACAAAAAAGTAAAAGAAAATGAGTGTTAGAAAACAAAAACCTAACAGGTGAAATTAGAAGACAGGATGAACCGCAGTCAATAAAAAAGTGGAGGCCGAACCAAAACGTTAATAAAATGGAAGAAGTATAAGCCGCCAATCCAATCCTCCCAAACTAACCAACACTCACACTAGATATCTAATTCACTCTTCCAACAAAATAAGCGAGAGAGTACAGGAGCTGCAACCGAAATTATTCCAGTAAAGAGAAAATTCACGGGAATAACAGGGGATGCAATCTTCCAGGGACCAGTAGATGATGTGAAGAGAGGAGCAACATAGGAGAAGAAAGCAATGCTGTTGCTACACACACACTTGTGCCTTATGAAGAAATATCCGAGGTAGTGATGAAATACATCATAGAGATGGTAGCACGTGGAGTGAGAGTAAAGCAGTATGCTAAACCACAGATCAATATGAAAAAAAAAAGACACTATAATGGGTATGACACATTTAGAGTAAAATTGTCAGATACCAAATGGCAATTTTTGAAGAAACACAATGCTGCTAATGGGAGGGGGAAAGGAGAAGATGAAACAGAAATGTTAGACTTAAATATTTGCTAAGAGTAAAGCTAACGCTGAGAGGATAGCACGTGATGAGGGCAGTAACTAGTGTACTGTGTCACAGTGTTCAACCACATAGTTGATTTGCAGATGAAAAACAGGTTGGGTAATAGAAAATAAAATGAATATCAGGTCCAAAAGGAAATAAAATTACAGGTGCGAAGAGAATAAAAACTTAAGGGCTTTTCTACATGAAGTACCTCAGGAGTGTAACTGCAGAGACAACGTAAACGAACCTAACCTAATCTTCCTAGGCGTAATACACACTATCTGAGGCCGAATATGGTACATATGTGTGCTATACTAGGCTTAAGAATAATTAAGTTTATTTTTATAGCTTTATTTTTTTGAGACTATAAAGTGAATAGTACCAAATTCTACTAACTGCCTTTTTACATCAATGTTTGTACTATAGTGCACATAGTTACAAGAAGTAATACATAAACAGAATAAGCTGTATAAAATTAGGCTACATTGAATATTTACAGGATATTTAATTACATGATCAATAAATACAGTATTAATATACAATACAGTAATATCGAACCATACCTGACGGATTACTAGAAGGTGGTAAGGTTCGGAATAAATTAACAGCAAACATTTGGACCACTTCAGGGTAAACGGGTTCTGTTATTACTTGACGCTGTGTCGTGACATACTCTACCATTTCGTTCAGAGCTGCTCGTTTTACTTCTTTCCATTTTAGATCACTAAGAGGGTCAGTTATGAAGTCGAATATAACACCACACTGTCGAATCTTCTGAATAAATAATTCTTCCCGCTCATTTGGTTGAGCATCTGTAAAGCAATTTCATTCAAGTCAATCACTTATAATATTAATGGCTAGTAAGATACCAGCAGAAGCTACCAGATCTGATGTTCTCGGCTGTACGCACCGAATCTTAAAACGTATTTTGATCTGAAATATGAAAGCTATCATTGCTAGGCAAAATAAGCAACAAATCTCTGTTGGAAAATTTATTCAATTGTTACAGCCTGTAAAACAAAACAAAATATTTCTCACCGTATGACTATAAAACTCATGAGGGAAAATGATAATAAAAATGGGTTTCAACTTACTTTATGAAAAGAAGGTTTTCCTAGAAATAATTAAAAAAAAAACCATTGAATGTAATGAAATACCATTTTCTGGGTGAGCCCCTACGGCTCCCAGGAGCTTATCGGGCTAATGTATGTTATATTTGACCGGGACATTAGCTATGGAGTTCAGACCTACTAGGGACCATGAGCCTACACCTGGCCCCTTCAGAGCCAGGCTCCCTTTCAGGAAGCAATGGCTCTGGAAAACCCCCGTGGTTGGGGGGGGGTTTTCCTTATCTGCCATCGACTGGGGTTAGGCACCCAGAAAGGTAGGCATAACAAAACACCCCCCACATAGTAAGAAACTAACAACAAAAACCGAACAGAAAGGTAGAACTCCCTACAATCCTAAGGAAACAAGCAAACGTAACACACTACTGTCGCGCCGCACATCCGTGCAGCCCTCCTCTCCCTGAGAGGCCCCCCCCCCAGACCTCACCGCGCCGGCTGCATAGCACTCCAGTTCGGACGCTAAGCTTCAACAAACGTGAAAAAAACACCGACCTGTGGAAGGGAGGGTTGCCAGGGAGCCTCCGGGGCTCACCCAGAAAATGCCGTTTCATTACATTCAACGCTGGTTTTCTAAGGGGAGCCAATATGGCTCCCTGAAGCTACATACCCAAAGAGAAGGAAAAGAAAGGGCTGACCTGGGAGGCAGCCACCATGCACTCCGCAACGCAAAGTCGAGACAACAGGCTGCAACCTGCAACCCAAAGCAACACAAGAACGCCCAGAAGTAGACACGCTCATAAAATAACGGGCGGCCAGGACCCTGTGCGACCTTCAAATCCCCGTGCCCGAATATGAGCCATAGAAATGTTACCAAACACGGCAGTCAAAGCTGCAAACGGCTGAACGGCACGGTCACGAGGATAGACCGCAATCTGGTTAGATTGAATAACCCTGCGGACGACCTGGGAGACCCGAGCCCTGGAAAAGGGAACGAGGGAAACCGAATCCACCCAAAGCGCATCCCCAGCCACCAAACTGAGGCATGCGGGTAACAGCGAAGAGCCGCAACAGACACAACACATGATGCACTCCCTGCCGAACCAACCAAGCATTAATAACCCAAGGACCCCTCCACAAAGCAGCCGTCTCGGCCTTCGCCAGAAAAGATGGAGAATGCTGCAAACTTACAAACCTATCACCAGTACCAAAAAAGCAGAAACCCCTGCGCCGGTGGAGAGCCGGAAGCTCCCCGACCCAACCCCCAAAAGCCAATGCCAACAAAAATAGAGCCGGCAAAAAACAATCTTGAACCGAAGGGGCTACCACAAACTGAGGAGAGGAATGATAAGAGCACCCTGACCAAGGACCATCACGGCTCAGGTGGCGCATGAGCATGCCGGAGGTGAAACAAAGCATGAGAAAGCATACAGAATGGGGCGGATGTGACGTCCACCTGAACGCAAGCTGAAGTGGCACTGCCAGCGCCGCACAATACGAGGCAACGGTAAGAATCATCAAATGACAGTCCTGAAAAATCAAGAAAGGACAAGACAACCCAATGCAAAAAGGAAGACAACCTACGAAGAGCAAGAAAATGGCAAAAAGAAACAGCAGGAAACTTCATATGGTCGCCGAGACAAAGCTCACAGGTGGGACACCATCAACAAAGCCACCTGATCACCATAGAGATGTTGACATACCCGCATCAAAAGACCAGACACAAAGAGCCGAGGAGAAGGCCGAAATAGCCACGTACCGGACCGGTCCGACTTGCCAAAAGCGGCGAAGCTGCGGGAAACGCCTCAGGTTGAGACACCGATCAAGCAGCATCTGAAAACAAAGCTGGGCCGGCCACCAAGGGGCCACGAGGACTACTCTCCCTGGGAAGGACTCCGACCGTGCCAGAACCCAAAGCAACAACTGGACCGGGGTAAGAGGGACAGGTAACTCCACCTTGATCAGTCCTGCTGAAAGGCATCCACCGAGAACACCTCGCAGGCAGGGAAGGACACCACAGAGAATGGGAGACGCCGAGATCATGCCGACTCAAAGAAATCCATGTCCGGGAGTCCGTACATCCGGCAAAGCTAACGAAACGAGTCGGCAGTGACCAGCCAATCCGTGAACAGCAAAATAAACCAAGACAGGCTGTCTGCCAGGAAGTTGGACACTCCCTGGACACAAACCGCATGGAGAACCAAACCCTAAGAACCCAGCAGACGAGTCACCTGAAGGGACCAACCCCAAAATGGAGTCAGATGGTAGAACCCCGAGTGACCCGTGTGAACTCCCGAATCGTGGTGAGCGTGATGGAAGGACGGACCCCACCGTCCCTGGCTGGCCTGGAGAGCACCGGTCTCCAGGCCAGCCAGTCTCCAAAGCCCTAGCCGACCCGTCTGTGAACACATTGGACGAAGGCTCGGGGAGGCGCCAAGGCACGGAACCCCCAAAACCCTGAAGAGGAAGCCGGCAACGCAGCACTTTTCTTTATCTCTTTAGGTTGTTTTGATGATTAGGGGCAATATTTGGGCTTTTTAACTTATATAAAGTATACCCTAAATATATCTCCTAAATCATTATAATTATTATAATTATCCCTATATTTTGTGTTTTTTGGGGGTTATTTTTTCTTGACTTCATTTCAACACATATTGACCTACAACTTTCACATATTTGAGTAAGAATGCCAAACAATGTTTATTAAAACATACAATTAAATTAACGAATTAAAACTACCTTTATTCATTGCTGATAATTTCAACTTCAATTATCTCTGAAACCAGAGTTTCAACTTTGTGTGGCTTCTAAAATTCCAGTTATCAACCGATTCTCACTATTTTGACATATTGTGTGCTCTGCTGTCTGTTCTACAATCCCATCTTATCTTGAGATTATCTTGAGATGATTTCGGGGCTTTAGTGTCCCCGCGGCCCGGTCCTCGACCAGGCCTCCACCCCCAGGAAGCAGCCCGTAACAGCTGACTAACACCCAGGTACTGTACCTATTTTACTGCTAGGTAACAGGGGCATAGAGTGAAAGAAACTCTGCCCATTGTTTCTCGCCGGCGCCCAGGATCGAACCTGGGACCACAGGATCACAAGTCCAGCGTGCTGTCCTCTCGGCCAACCGGCTCCCATCAGAATGGATTTTTCATAAACTTTATACATTTAGTGTTATAATTTTTTTTGGTCTAAATTTGCCGCATATTTTAAATGCCCTATTGACGATTTTTTTTACAGTAAACTATACTGAAAACCTATATTCTAATTTGATGAAAATGAAGATCATATGCTATTCTGAGAGAATAATAACATTAAATGAACAATTAATGATAGTTCATATTTTTTATTCTGAATTGAAAATCTGAAGTTTTCAATATTCAATTTTAAAGTTAATTTTGAATCTCTTGATTTTCAAGTAACGCTGTGATCATTTAGACAATGTTGAAACATTTGCCTAGTTGATTATGCCAAAAAAAAAATTGGAAAGTGTTTATGCAAGTTTTAAAAACTTATGTTAAATTATTTTTTGTCAAATCATATATGTATGTATTGCGCAGTCTAAGGGTTAAATGTAAAGTGCTCATAAGCCATTGCTCCCTGCGCCTCTCTGAGGGGGCCAGGTTCTGGCTCATGGTTCCCAGTAGACATAAGGTCTCCTGTGACCGATGACCTTAAACCTGGTTTCCTAGGGGGTTATATGTGTGTGTGTGTGACACCAGTTAAGAATACATCTTAACGGGTGTGGTGGCTGTGTGCCCAGTTCCAGTTTTGGACTAAGAGCCATAGGGAGTCCAGAGCCCTGTTTGGGTGACAAGATACCAGGTTTTCCTTCAGAATAACCTTGAGTTGTAAGAAGTGAATTTATGCCGTGTAATACTTTGTGTGTGTTTATAAATATAACTTTGTCATCTTGTTACTTAGCTCTTTCCCTACTCCTTGAATTCCATTTGGCTCAAGTAAAAGCCTTATTCCCCGAGACATGAAAATACATGACGAGAACATGACAGTCTGTAGCTAATAAAATGAAGAAAACATGCAATACAATCATACAATTATGATATCAAAATTATAGAAAATTTAATTGTTTTGTGAATTTGAGGGTAGGTACTGGAGAGGAAGGTTGACAAGATGGGCAGATATGCCAAGTGTGACTGGGCAAAAATACAACATGCAAACAATGCACTAGTTGAATCAAAGCCCATTGTTAAAAGGGGATGAATGAAACTGCCATTAAAAATTTGCTGTAATGCTAACAAAGGTTGGAAAGCATTATGAAAGTACAGGAGTCTCTATCAATATCCGTAACCCACAGCCCTGAAATTCTTTTCTGTTCTTTCTGGACAAAGATCACGACTTAACATATCTCCTTAACCTAATGATAGACAATAAGCCAGAAAATTTTATTTAAAACAATTTAAATTTTACAATTGTTGGTAAAAAATTTAATGTACTGTACTGTGCTTTCTCCAGTGAACCACCCCCATGCCCTGCATTAATTCCTACCATCTCTAAGTTAAACCACTAGGTAACATAGTATTTGGAAGAAAAAATACAAAACTGATCACATTCATAACTAAATTCTCTGAAAAGACCATGCGTACAAAGAACCTCTACAACCAAATACTTGCCTCGAAGTGATGGAAGCTTCTGTAGTTCTCTGTTCTTAGGGATGTTAAACCGTGATGATGACTGCCTCTTCTCCTTCTTGATGAGGGGAGCACCAGGGCCAAACTTTATTTTATTAATCTGTGTAGGGGGAGGTAGGCCATCCTTAATGGATGCAACAGAGCCCAAAGGCCCATCATTTCCACCAACAACTGGCTGCTGCTGTTGGTCATCTTCCTGCGGCTGCGGCTCGTGTGGTGATTGTGGCTGCTGTTGCTGCTGATTGTGTTGGTGATATGGTGAAGTGATGGAGAGGATGACAGTGGCAGAAGAGGGTGGTGGTGGTGATGAAGGTGGGGGTTGTGATGAAGGTGGAAGTGATGGAATGCAGGTAGTGTTGGAGGCAGGAGCACAGCAGCAAGTTGTTGCAGTTGTGGTTGTTGTAGTTACCATCAGCGGAGCCACGCACGTACAACACCAAGCAACACATAGAGAGAGAATAGCAGTTAGTTTTAGTAAGAGAAACAACACACACTACAGCACTACTTTCAAAAGAGCCAATGCAACAAAAATCTTACTTGATTCCATCATGGTTTTTAGGATGGCATCAGAAAACATATTTAGGATAATGGAAAGATAATGGAAACTTAAGACCATCTTGTCAAGCTAAATGAAAGATACAGTATCTCTGAACCTTCAAATAAACTTGAGTGTATTTAAGTTACCTTACTCTTTCTCTGGTACAGGGATGAGACATAGCAAATTTATCATCATCACAGAAATACTCATTGCAAGTCACATGCTAAACTCTTAGTGCTGCTGGATAATTTTACTTCTGAATCTACATTTATTATTACTATTATTACATTACATAATTATTAATGTCATTCCCATGATAAATTTTTTACTATGTCTATCAGAGTGTAGCTCACATGCTTTTTGTAAAGAATTGAGCCAGCAATATATGGGGACCAAATAATAAATTGAAAGACCACTGTGGAACATTACTCATGACAGAAAAAAGTTACAAATATAAATCAGACAAGAACAGAAATTCAAGTGAAAAGCCTATCCTAACATTGCATCGTGATGTGCAACTCTGCATGCATGAAAATTTCCAAGTGCATTTAGATGCAACATCTTTCACATGTCTAGTAAAGGAGATTTTTTAACAGTCAACACCTAGTATGTACAGTATTGTATGCCTTCTTGAGAGAGCCATTATTCAAGTTTTTTCCTGAGCAACAAGAATTTGTAGTCGTTGTTCCCAAGATACATATACAGATTTTGAAAGTTCCATTAATATAATTTGTATTCACTTTTATATTTTCTCTAAAATTAAGCATGCAATTATCACATAAGCACTTTAGGATGTTGCAAAAGTGTTCCACAAAAATAGTTCAATCACGCTACCAAGGGGTACAACTTGTGTATATGACACTTTTGTTCGAAGAATGTTTCTTCATAACCTGGAATGTTTGGATACTATACAAACTGTCAAGAAGAGACAGAAATTCTACATCAACCCAACTTTATTTAGCTTGAGTTGCTCTAACAGGTGTAAGCAGATCTAGCTGCTTATTACTTGGTGAATACATCTTAACAGGGTAGTTCCCTAGTCACTAAAGGATATTTCAAAGATCTTCCCAACATTTTAATGATGATTGATCTATACTTATTTGATACCTTGTTTACCTCTTTAAGGACACACAACTTTGGTCTTCTTCCAGATAAGTGCCATATTTTGCAAATTAATAAAGACTTGGAAGAAGGCTGTAGCCTCTTAACAAATATTCATACCTTTTAAGGGTAATGATAACATCTGGGTGGCCGAGGACATTTTAAACTTTTCTTCTGTGATGTTACAGGTAGATAAGCATGAAATGGTAAGGGAAGGCAACACAGGGAGAGTGAAATGGCTCCATAACTTGCACATTGTATGCTAAGCTTGGCCTTATCCAGAGCACTGTCATCTACAGAGCCACCATATTTGCTAAGGGGTGGTATAATCATCAGATGCATTTTCTTGCTGCTTACTTATTATGCATCAACAACTTTCTAAGTCACAGAGCCAGGTAGTAAAAGATGATGTGCCATTTCTGGATGTCTCAATGTTAATGTTGCTATGTCTGGTACTTGATAGTCCAAGGCACAAACATAGCCGTGTGGTTGTTAACAGTTGCTTTAACCTCTCCACTATGCGATATGGCACGAAATGTTCTCGTTAATTTTCCAATAGTCTTGTTTCATGACTATTGGAACAAAGACTCCATTGTCCTATCACCTGTGTTCAGAAATACATGTCTTGCGACAGACGTCTCTTACTTCCTAGGTGTATTCAATATGAAAATAGTGAAAACCAAAATGCAGATGATAGACTGTGGAGAGATACATCCTTAGTGAACTGAAGAACTGAATGGGATTTTATTTTTTATTTTTTTATTTTTTTGCAGGGATATTCCTGCACGGTCATTAAGCCTCTGGCTGGCCCACTAAGTGTTGCTTGTTTCTGTTTTACTTAGGCAAAGTATGAGTATTAATGCCTCGTATGGTCGTTTCAGTAAGATTTTGCCCCGTGTGTTTAACAACAACTGCTCTGTTGAATCTAAGTTGAAATCTTAATTGGTTTGTAACTCTGCACTGTGTTAGATAATATTCCAGTGGTCTGTCAGGAAGTGCTACAAAGATTTCTACACATCAGGGTTAGAAGTTGTAGAGTGACGAATCACTAGTGCTTTTCAAAGAACGTCTTGCCTTCAAGCAGTATATTTCCTCCAATGCCACAGATTTGGACTGAAATTCTTTGTACTCTGTGACTGTGGAACGGGACTAGTCATTTACAATCTATATTCTGGTACTGACGCAGACATTCTGAATAACACTCCTCACAGTTTCCCAGGCAGTGTAGTAAAGATGCTAATAGCTAATCACTGCTGAACAAGGGCCACATTTTATATACAGACTATTATACCATTCCCTTGCTAACATGGTTCTTGTTCAAACATAATACTTGATTGTGTGGCACAGTACAGTCACAGAGGAGCGAAATGCCTGCATCATGAAAATATTGCAGCAGGTGAATGCCAGATAAAACAAAATGACAATATACTTGTAGTGGGTCAGAAAGAGATGCGAAGTAAATATGTTGACAACCATTCAAACTGGCAGGATGGTAAACAGTGGCAAGGTCAACACCGCAACAAAAGCTTCAGTATATAAACCAGATTGTGTCATAGCCTATAACATTAACATACGCTTGGATGATAAGTGTGACATGATAGATGGCACTGTTGAGTGCGTACGTGAAACTGCCAAGTGGACCCAAGTAGATGTTTTGCCACCTTGTTGACATAACTATGCTTATCAGCTACAATATGTACATGGTGAAATCAGGGTGTACACTAACTGTGTCTCTTACAGTTCTGACACAATTACTAACAAAGTTTGGTAAAGACATTCATGATATACAGTATCTAGAAGCAGTTTCAGCCCAGCATTGCTTGATGCTACTCCAGACAAACTGGCTTTCAAGGAGGGTTTTCAGCTACACAAAAATGAACTATATACCAGCTACTGAAAAGTGTGCAAGTGGCCAAGGTGAGTGTGTTGTTTGTAAGAACACACCAAAGAAGCCAAAGGCATTAAAATTCAGCCCATCCTCCTATTTTGGTAGTAATTTGACAATGAGGACCATAGTACATATACTGACGTACAGTGGTACCTTGGTTTTCAAATGTCCTTATTTTTTAATTTTTCGGTTTTTGAGCTCAATTTCTTCAAAAAAATTTACTTGGTATTTGAGGTTTACCTTGGTGCTCGAGTTTGTTGATACATAAATGGGCTGACCCAGCACGTGGCTCGCTTCAGTTTACCAGTGTCTCCCGCCTAATGACGACCGCGCTTGAATTCTTTGTGAAGAATTTAATCGTTTTTGTGCTTTTTTGGTTTCTGAACATAAAAGTTCTTATTATATAATCACACCATGGGTTCCAAGAAAGTCAGTGGTTAAGTTCAAACCAAGAAAATAGTTGAGGATGACAACAGAGGAAAAACAAGAGATCATTCAAAGTGAGAATGTGATGTCTCACTACAGACAAGTGTTAAAACCAATCCATCCTCCGAATTGACAGTACGATTTAATACCAAGTGTAATAAGTACACTTTCTTACTGTCATAAAGAGTGCATAATTGCACTTATGGGGCTGTTACATTTACCCAACTCCCTCCCCCAATTTAATTCTCCTCGTTTTCTGTTAAGACACTCAGAATTTTAGGATGAAGTTTTCAATTTCAATTTGCAATACACAAGTTTTAAATATCAGGAATTTCTTTTTCAGGTTTATTAAACAATATAGATTTTATACAAAATTTTAAAATATCCTGAGTTACTTTACAACTTACAATGGAGCCTTGACTTACGATGCTAATCCGTTCCCAGAGACGGATCGTAAATCAAAGCGATTTTTCCCATAAGAAATAAAGGAAATTGAATTAATCCGTTCCCCACCCTCCAAAATATTAACATACAAATACATTTTATACTGAATACAATGTTTTTTTCTAACTACAATACAGTACCTAAGTTTATCTTACCTTTATGGAGTGGAGGGCTCTTGATGGCATATGGAAGATGGTGATGAGGGGGGAGGAGGAGAGTTGTTACTGTTTGGAAGGGGGAGTCCCCTTCCATTATCACATCAGGCAGTGATGTTTTCTCTGGGGTACTCTCCTACGTTTTGCCTGAATACCACTAGGACCTGGTTGTGGTTCAGTGCTTGTTTGTCTCACTACAAATTTGTCAAAGAGACATTTGCTTTTCCTTTCGTTTTAACATTTGTCTGTAATATGTATCACTTTAGCACCATAATGTCCTTTTTCTTAGCCAGTATGGTGGATATTGTTGACTGAGATTTGTTGTACTGCCTAGCCAGTCCAACAACCTGCACACCATCTTCATATTTATGAATGATCTCTTGTTTCTAAACTATGGTCATTCTTACATGGGATCTCATATGATGAGCATTACCACTGACTTTCCTGGGACTCATGTTGTGATATATAATAATTACTTTAACCCTTTAACTGCGCAGCCTATAAATATGACATCCCCCCAGTGCGCAGGAAATGAAACCTTGGGAAAAAATTATTTTTTCCTCGGAAAGTGTCAAAAACCCCTCCCTGTATATGGGTATAGCAACGCAAGTTTGAAATTGTACTTACTTTGGCTGCTATAGGGTCCGAAAGGTGGGCCGTGATGTCATAATTCCCCGTTTGCCAGAGCAGTATGCACCCGGGGCCGGCGGGGTGCCCTGGGCGGGGCGCGCGAGTTGCCGCGAATATATTTTTGCACATTTTTTGCACACAGTTCCAAATACATTTTATTTGTTTTTACATGCTAATCCTATGTATAATGAACACGTACACTATATTATGGCAGTAAAACATCCGTACTG